GACCAGTTCTGCTCAGACATCCTACTGCAAGCCATCCATCACGTATGGAGGGAAGCATGTGTTGTAGGGTGTAAGCAACAGTACAGGCCTCCTAGTAAGTATGATTAAATTCCACCACAGCCTTCAGTTCAGAATGCTATGAGGCCTCGTTAATTAGGAATGTCTGGAGAAAATGCTTCTCCAAATCAGCAAAAAAGTCTGAATTTTAACATATTTTAAACAAAAGCACAATGTGACTTTTAAATCACATATGGTAATTCAGACAAGGTTAACAAGGTAACAACGTGGGTCTGAGGTCTCCACTTTTTTTTTTTAAACATCTTTATTGGAGTATAATTGCTTTACAATGGTGTGTTAGTTTCTGCTGTATAACAAAGTGAATCAGCTATACATATACATATATCCCCATATCTCCTCCCTCTTGCGTCTCCCTCCCACCCTCCCTATCCCACCCCTCTAGGGGGTCACAAAGCACCGAGCTGATCTCCCTGTGCTATGCGGCTGCTTCCCAGTAGCTATCTATTTTACATTTGGTAGTGTATATATGTCCATGCCACTCGCTCACTTCGTCCCAGCTTACCCTTCCCCCTCCCCGTGTCCTCAAGTCCATTCTCTATCTCTGTGTCTTTATTCCTGTCCTGCCCCTAGGTTCTTCAGAACCCATTTTTTGTGTGTGTGTGTTTTTTTTAGCTTCCATAGTGTCCACTCATCTTTAATCAATAAATTAGCATCATTTATAATTACCATAGTCATTGTTTTAATGTAAATTGATGCTTTGGAATTGTTTGAAGGAGCCTGAAAATACTGCAATTTGTCCTCTTAAATTGCTTAAACATGACCCCAATCTCCTTATTTTCAGCGGCATCAGGAAATTTCTGAACAATGGCACAAAGACAAAACTTCAAACACTACCCTGACATGAATTTTCCAAATGTCCTAATTAGAAGATGTGACTTAATGAGGTTTTCTGTGAGTTAGAGATATAAAACCAGAAGGATGCATCTTACAGACACGAGCTTCAGTTTTCACATCGGCGTGCCCTGTATATACATGACTTAAAGAAGTACTTAACTTTGTCCTTCAAAATGTCACACTAGGCCTCGGGTCTGCCATGTTGCTGAAACCCAAGGATGCTGTTCGTGCAATAAGAACATGGCTCTAGAGTGACATGAGCTGCCTCATTTCAACTGATAAAGGATTTTAGCAGGCTGATGACAATAGGATAGGAAATAGGTTTGTTTTTTTTTTTGCCACCAATAAACAAAGATTTATTTGGAAATCTCCAAACCTGCCAGAAGTGGCACTTGCCAAGCCCTAGGCCCACTCTCCTTCCCAAGCTCCAAAGGGGAACAACAGTCCTCCCCACCGCTTCCCTGCCCTCCCCCTGCCCTCCCCCAGCACACTCACCCATGCCTCAGGCCCCGCCAGAGAACTAGCGTGCCCTCCCTCTAGGAGGCATTACCCCTGGGCCCAAAAGCTGGGGGTGGCAGCCCTGTGGCCTCTCAGGAGATGATGGCGGCCAGAGCCACTTGCATAGACTGAGAAAAGAAAATAAGGAAGGAGATACCAAGTAGGGCTCCCTGAAAAACCCCAGCTTACTCCTGTACAAAAAACGTGGCTCCTGCATAGAAAAACCTGCTCCACGAATAGTGCAAATACCCAAAGGAAAGGAAAAAAAAACCTGCAGCAAGGCTGGGCTGGTAGGAATAGCAAAGAACTTTGGTTTGGAAAGGCTACAGGAAGAGTGTGAGCTGTGCCCCTTTTCCTCGCCCAGCTGCCCAGAGCCAGCGCTGACTCTCGCTCCAAGGGGGTCTGTAAACAAGCAAAGCCAGGGGCCTTTGCGATGTCAAAGCACAGCCTCCAGGTCCTACTTGGGCCTGCCTGCAGGGGGCAAAGGAGGCCTCTGCTGTGAATCCAATTAAAGCCAACGTGTAAGTAGTAAGGCTTTGGGGACTAAGCAACACGGAATCCTCTCACTACACTTATGAAACTAAAGCTGGGGAGCAGAAGGTGACAGGAGACACCCCTCACCCCCTCCTTGTCCTACATGTCTGTGCCCCAGAGGGTGGTCCCCTTCCAGGCTGAGGAGGGGGGTGCTCCAGGGCTGGGAAGAAAGGAAGGGATCCCCGAGCCTGCGGTCAGGCAGATTCCCGGCACCTGTTCCAGTTCCTGCCTTTGCTGCTGCACCTTGGCAAAGACGCACCTCCCCACTGCTTCCTGGGCCAAGGGCTGGTGGTAGAAAGCAGCTCGTCTCTCCTCCTCAGGATTCCCAATCACATCAGTGATGATCTTGGGAATGGAGCCACGCCTGGATGAAGTCCTGGGGGTCAGTGCTAAAACTGAGCATGAGATCCCTCTGGGTCTTCAGCTGGTTGATGGACTCTGTGGTCTCATGGAGTTTGATATCAAGGGCGGCGATCTGCTGATTGGTGGTAGAGGCCGGAAAATTGCTCATCTGGGCCTTGAGTGGGTCATCCACCTCCACATCAATGTCATAACAGCCTGTCTTCTTCTGGTCGTTAGGGTCCACGCTAATGACATGGTTGATGACAATGGGGTCTGGATGCTGCAACAACCCGGCCAGCTTCACGGGAATCTCAGGGAAACGGAGTCGGCCACAGCTGAAGATCCGGCAGAAGTACCGGTTGCAGTTGACGTACTCCCGCTCGTGGCCGTCCTGCAGCTGGCTGTGTTTGACGTAGAGCCACAGGGCGTGCATGGTGGCAGCCCTCGTGTGTGTGTGCACCCCCAGAAGCCTCGCCAGCTGGGGGTCCGACTTGTACTGGGGAGGCTGATGATCCAGCATGAGCAGGCGGGTGCACCTGACGTTGAGGTCTCGGGCCGTTTCACCTGGAGGGCATCTGTCTCCTGGGTGGTGGGCATCCAGTGCCACTCCAGCAGGTGGTTCAGGCCCGTACAGTTCCTTTGTCCAGCTCAATGATGAGGCTCTTAAAGACTGAAGAAAACTTCCTCTTCTGTTTCCTAGGATCACCCAGCAGTTTTCCCTCTACTCGGAGTTCCCAGGAAGCCACCTGGTCCCCCGAGGGGTTTCCCCCCGGGGGTCCCTGCGGTTCCTGCACTATCACCCTCTGCCTTGCTGGGACTGAACGTACTAGAAATATCGATCCGCAGCTTTCGTTTTTGCGTCAGAGGCTCTCTGATGGCCTCCTGGATCTCCATCTGCTTTCAAGCAACGGGCTGGTCCAGCTTCCGCTCAAAAGCCAAGAGATCCATGTATGCCTGAGGCTCTGGGACAAGCTCCCGAATTCGCTGAGGTAGAACTTTATCTGCCACCTTCCTCCTCTTTAACCCCTGGCGCTGGGCAGGCATCGGGGGCTGGGCCTGGGGCACAAGCAGGCGTTTTCGGAATGGGTCCATCACGGTGGGTGGCATGCCAGGTCGAAGTGGAGCAGCTGTGCCAAATGGGGAGCCTGCAGGGGTTCCCACCTGCAAGCCAGCCATGGGCATCCGGCTCCCTGATGACCCGCCAGGCCTCTGGTAGTGCGTCGCAGGGCCCCGGGGCCCCCCATGCCTCTAGCCGGCCCGGGCCCCCTGAGCGCCGGTCTGGGCAGCACGCCGGGTCCCGATGGCAGAGGCGGAGCTCCCAGGGCCGCGGCCAGACATCGCTCTGTCCCTGGAAATAGCTTTTATATTAGCCCATTCTGAGTTCGTATTAGTTTTTATAGAACTAATGAATTATAAGAAGGAAAAGAAAAATGAACCCTTAACATCAGCGGAGGGAGGCGGAAGACTGGAGGGGTGAAGAGCTTTGGGGCTGAAATTCTGCCATTTCTCATTTGCTAGCTCTGTGATCTGGACCAGCTATTTCTTATCTCTAGGCCTTGGTTTCCCCTTCTGTAACACAAGGATAAGTAACACTTTTCTTGATATAAGAATAAATGAGGTAAAAACGCTCAGCTTGGCATCTGCTTCAAAGATGGTATTACTTTTACTACTGCTACAGCTACTGCTGGTACTAGCATTACGATTGTTCTCTCTATCGGGTCTATTGCCACTTCTCCCCTAACAAGTGAGGTTTTTAGCAAAAATAATGCTTCAAACGCTACGTGCAAAACCACAGCGCTGCTGGTGCTGGTGTGTCAGGCGCCGCGCTAGGTGCTCTGGGTACGCTCACTCCTATTTCTCAGTGACCCAGTGCAGGAGTGCTGTTATTATTTTTTTTTTATCACCATTTATTATTTAATTTCATAATCCATATTAACTTCATCTATCCAGTGAGGAAACTGATGGACACAGAAAGAAAAGTTAAATCCAAAACTGGAACCCAGGGAGTCTGAATCCTGAGTCCCCACATCCAGCCACTTCTCTGTTCTGCTTCCCACCTTGTTGCTACTTCTGATGATGCTGCTGCTGACGATCAGGCCTAGAGCCAGACCAGCTTTTACATTCAGGGCCATATTACTCGGGATGTCTGAGCGGCTGTCCAGGAGTACACACGACACAGTAATTCCTTTCCCTGTGATTATGAGCTTACTCAGGTTACAGAATCATGTTACTCACTCTGAAAGTTTATAGGGGAAAGAAGATAAGAGCGAAAGGTGGCCTCTATTATTTGGGTTCTAAAGTCTGGGCCTTATCCAGACATTCCAAACTCATTCCCACCTGGAAGATCGAGACCCTGATTTCTAGAGCACTGTTAGTGCCATCCGACCCATTTCTACAGTCTCAGAAATTTCAACTTGGGGGACAGTGTGTAGTGTCCAGTCATCATTATTTAAATCACATTTTCTATATATTCACTTAGATATTTATCACCCACCGCTACTCCCGACCCCGATCTTAGTTTTCTTTTCCTCCTAGGAAATAGGCACACCTGTATGCAAGCAAGAAAACGCGCTAGGATAAGTAGACATCACACCTTCCACTGACTGGGAGGACCCTTGGAGGTCAACTGTCTTGACCTCCTCCTCATGTTGGGGAAGGAGGGTTAAGAATCGTTTCAAATGCTTGAAGCGCACATCAGACCGCAGCACTCTTACCCGCGCGGTGAAGTCCACGGCTGCCGCTCGGTTTAACAGCAATGTGGCTACGTTGATATTTCCATAGTGAGCAGCTATGTGGAGCGGAGTGAAGCCACTCTGGAAAGAAAACAGAGCAGACGTTCAGCTGATTCCTGCCGGCCCCTTGCCTGACATGTTAATACCATAACCCTGCCCAGATAAAAACGGGGAAGCAAAATACGCTGAGGTCCACATTCCATTCTGTACTAGGTTTCTTTCCATTAGTGCCAATTGCTCATAGGATTTCAAAGAGATGCCAAACTCACAGGCAGAGGAATAGCCAGGGAGGAACCAAGGGTGGAGACTGAGCCATTTTAGTAATCCAGGAACAGAACTACACAGAAGCCAATGTTTCCAAAAGTTAAAATAGGGATGACAAGAAATATCTTGACAGCTCAAAGAAAGTTCGATTAGTACCACTGTTTTATCATTCATAGGATCGTCCATTGAAACTCGGTCAAAATTTAACTTGTTTTATATATTCAATGTAGAGTCAAATGAACGAACGGTAAAAGCCAATCTTAATGACGAAAGCAATTTGGGGGGAAGAGGTACTATTACACATTGGTCTTGAATCGTGGTGAACGCATTTCATGAAGAAATCGACAAGCTGGTCTCTTTAGTAGCAAATGCCTACTCGATAACACATTTTTCTGGATCATTCATACCAAGGTCATTTTACTTCCTTAAAAAAAGTGCTAAAACATGCAGCGATTCACTTAGTCCCCAAAGATTTAAACCTTATAGGAACTAGATGCATTTCTAAATTGTTAGCAAGCTTCTCAGCCATGCTAGCGATCTGACTGACTCTTGTCAAGGGTGGGTCATATGTGTGCCCTTCTGAGGTAACTTTCATCTTGCTGACACCACTGAGGGTAAGTGTCATGCAGAACTCTAGAGAACCAATCCTAGATGAGTAGAATGACAGGGTTGTCTGCAGCTTTAGGTACAGCTGATAAGTTTCTCAAGTGTCAAAACGCTTCGTGTCACAGAACGCTATTGAAATACCCTTAAGTTTCAAGGCTTCCTCATACTTCCTTTCAAACACCAGGTTCAGCTGCAGAAAGCCCTGGTAATCAGACTACTATCTTCCCTGGCACATGCTACTTTGAGGGCGGGGGTATAAAGCAGGTATCTAGCCTACAGAAGGCAATGCAAAGAAGAAGGGAAAGAAATGAGGTAGCAGCTCTAAGAAATGGGAAAATGATGATGCAGATATAGATCATATGTACACGTATATATATATATATATATACCTCTGTTGTTCTATTCACCACCATCTAGGTTAACACATTTGGAAGCAAGGAGGAGGAAAAAATGAACGGTTAGTTTGCTGTCGGTGATAATGGATGGCAGAAAGCTCATGACGGCTAAGTGACGAGGGTGAAAGCTCTGATGGAAGCACGATAGGCACAGAAAGAAAGCTAGACTGAATGAAGGGCTACGTGACGGCCTATTCCAAATGCCACATTTCCTCCACCGAGACTTGCAAGTGTCCAGACAATGGGAGTTGTTGGCTGGGACCCTGGCTGCTGGCATGGTTTCCACAGCTGATCAATACTCAGTGCATTGCCTACCGTCTGAGATAGCAACCAAAGGTTGATTTTGTGCACACCGTGGCTAGCATTTTGTAATTTTTCACCTTGATGTTTGAGCTGACGTGTTAACTACATTAAAAATATATGTTCAAAGGAAGGACACTGTTGGGTACATATTGATTGATTTCTTTTGAGGTGGCCTCCACGTTAGCACACATAGGGCAGCACCCACAGTTCCCTCCCAGCTTTAGATGCCAAGGGCAGGGGATGTGCCTTCGGCTGGATGACTTGGGCGCTTGATTTTATTCCTTTCAGTGCAGTTAAGTGTTTGGCATAAGCTCCAAAGTGAGCCCAGGCATTCTTCACATTTGGGTGCCTAACACAGGATGCTGCACGAGGGGCTCGTTTCCCAGGTGCTCACCTTCGACTCTACATCTGCATTGTTGTCGTTCTGCAGCAGCAGGGCGGCAGCTTTCGTGTCATCTTTCCTGGCAGCGATGTGAAGAGCTGGAAGACGCACTTTTCCTTTCGTGTCGTTTTCTAGCAGGAGTGACACTACTTGATCGTGACCTTGTTGCAAAGCTACTGCCAACGGTGTGAAGCCATCCTGCGAACAGATGGATGGGTCAAGACTGGTCTCTATGGAAATTTTCTTCTCCATTAACAAATAAGAAGGTGACCGAGTGACCAAATGTCAATTTTTGTTCGGGGCTATTAAAGCTGACATACTCAAGTAGACATATATGTGGAAAGAAATTTAAAACTACACATATACCAAAGCAGGAAATAATTTAAAAATTTGTAATAAGTTTATGGGTTTCTTTCTGTGGAAAAAGTGGGTAAATTTCGAAAGTCCTACCTAAACAAGAAAAAGACGGCAGAATTTCAGTATCCATAAAATAATCTCAGCGAAAACAATTACCTCTCGGGTTAAATCCAGGCAAATTTTTCAAAGGAGTTCATTTAAATAAGCTGTAAACATTTCCACTGATAATTTAAAACTGTTTTATCCAGTACCTTGTTGCCTAGCATATCCTATCTGCTTCATCACTGTACCTTGTGGCCTAGCGTATATCTGGTGCTCAATTAGTATATGTGAGTTAATGAGCTATACTCACTGCTGTTTTAAGAAAGATATACATGAAAGACTCATGGTTTCTGTGACCAATGAAAGAAAGGATCATACAAAATGTGACTAAAGGCAATTCAGACATACACACACATCTATACATTGAGTCTTCCCACTGTATGGCCCCGGGACTTGACAAAGAGAAGACAGCTACAGATTTCACTGTGGTTAATTAATTTGTGGATGGTCTGCTGACTGTAGAACACATAGTACAGAGCAGAACATCCCAGGACTGGCTCCCAAATTTTAATTCTGCAGTGCTTTCATTATCACACACTCAAAAGAACATTTCAAAATTATTTTTACTAGACAATTGGCAAGTAAGTTACTTATTATTTCATTCGGGTCATGGTATTTTAGATTTGTAGTCCCTGTGGCACAAATCGAGGGCTGCTCTGATGGAGGAGCCCTTATAAGGGAGAAAGAAAAACCAGGGTTACTTGCATACTCATGTCTTGTTGGTTTTCCTAAAAGACCACTTTCACCATTGTATTCCTTGCTGGAAAACACCTACCACTCCTACCACTTATTTGGCTGAATGCAAATCAGCACACTTATATTCAAGGATGTGTAAAATATTGGCCCCAAGCGCCTAAGTGACAGTATTGCCCAGGCTCTTCTTGTACAAATCATCTCCATTCTCCTTACTAACTGTGGACGTGCGGACCGTCTCCACCCTGGCTTCTAATCTCAGGCTATTTGCTGCACCCTGAAATGTCCTCCTTGTTCTACATACACAAATTCTGTCTATGCTCCAAGCCTCAAGATCTGGCTGAAGTTCCACTTGCCGCTTTCAACTTTTCCAAGAAGACCCAAATAAGGAAGAGGATGAGCATTAACGCAGCCGGAAGGACATTCCCTGCAACCATATGTAAGATAATGGAGAAAGGCTGCATACAACCTGGACGTCATCAAAATGATATCACAGGTTACACTGAGGGACATAAAGTTTAGAGTGTAATTTAATGTTATGGGAAAAGGAATCTACATAACCATGTAAATATATGATCTCATTTTCATTAAGATAAATGTGTGCGTTGTGAACATGGACAAAAAAATCTGGATGAATAAACAGAATGTTATCTCTAGGGAAAATTAACCATGGCTTTTTCTTCTTTTTGCTTTTTATTGTACTTTCTCATTTATTTAATATGTTACTTTTGAAAAAAAAAGAGAAAAATACATTTAAAAAAATGGAATGGTGAAAGGAAAATTGTGTATTAAGAGTTAACGTTGCATCTCACTTTTAAAACCTGAGCAAAACCTAAGGAGTAAAAATGACAGCTCACTTCTGTTCTGCAGCAAAATGAAATGGCTACATTTCCACTGATAGGAATTTTTCAATCCACAGGGCCTATACATAAAGGAAACTACCTTGCACCAGAAAATCAACTGCAGCTGAGACATTAGCACTGACAAGAATGTGCTTCCTGCACAAACCAATTAAAGATACAAAGTACCAGCCCTAAGGTGTTAACAGCTAAAATTAGCAGCTCTAGATTTTGTTTCCAAACCAAGTTTAAACGGTTTGGTTTGCTCTGTACAGTTATTCTTAAGAGAAAAATACAAGCCGAAAGGAAACGTGATAGGAGCTCCTTGAGAAACTTCACTGCCTTGTGGACTGTCTGGCACATAATAGGTGCTTAATAATTACTTGTGCCATATAAGTGAACAAATAAATTTACCTCATGCTTCAAAATTTTGATTAGCGAAAGAAGGAAGATATCCATGGAAAAGAAGGAAGATATACATGGAAAAGATATAAATGTAGTACACAGCAATACAGGAAAGGTTTCGAAAACCACAACCATGCCAAAGACTCGATACATATATACAAGGTACATATGGAAGAAAAAAATGTATTGATGGACCTTGGCAATATCACATCATATAATAAATTAAAAATCCTATTAAAATTTTTCCATCTAAGGAATCCTTTCATTGCCCACTACTGTTCATTCTGTAAATAGAGACTTCTGTATAAATGATACCAATATTATTGCAAATCGTAGTTAGAACACTGTGTGAATGAAACATCTTATTTCTTGCTGTTCTTTTTAGTCTCTAGTACTAATAATCCAAAAGAAGAGATAAAAATTCAGTTAAAGCTTCAAATAGCTCTAGATAATCAGATAGATGTTGTTTACATAGTGATGTACTAGCACCCTCATGAAGACATGGATGTGATTTGTTCTTAGAACATTCATTCATTGATTTATTTTTTAAAGCTACCAAAACCGCCCCCCCAAAACCTCTTGAAATTAATATAAAGGAGTAAAAAAAAAAATCTATCTATCTGCATTATCTATCTATCTACATATCTCTATCTACATTTCTATCTATATGTCTATCATCTACATATCTATCTATATATATATCATCTATATATCTATCTACCTACCTATCTGTCTACATATCTACCTATCTACATATCTATCTATCTACCTACCTACCTACCTACCTATCTTCTTGCTAAAAGATTGAATTAGTTGTTTAAGGATCTCATATAATATTTCTTTTTACTTGGTTGTAGTGCCTCTTTTGGGGCCTTGAAAGCTTAAAAAAAATTGGAGAACTCAGTGAGTTACTGATAATTAGCTGACAAGTTAACTCTAATCTATTAGCAGTTAATTGGGTTTATATTCGCTTCTAAAGGAGAGATCCTTGATGCTCTGTCCATCGCAGCCTGAAAAAGAATACTACCTGTCCTTCACAGACGAAAACAGTACTAAGGAATTGCTGTCATCAGGACATTTATATTATTTCGTATTTCCATCCAAAAATGCGAATGGGTTTCCTCTTCTACAACAACCTCTGCTGCCCACTCTCCCTGCAAAGCATGATGAGACCTGCGCCTCTTCGTCCTTGAGGGACTCACTCAGGCTACTTCCTCCCAGTGTGAGGATGGGCCCTGCTCGACGTCTACAAATGTTGGTTCCTTTGTTATTTCTTACCGAGCTCTAAGGATATTATTGTTTAAAAATACATTCTCAAGATAAAAATCACTAAGAGAACTGAAGGGTATGAAGTGAAAAGTAAGACTCCCTCCTAATTTTCAGAATAAACCATTGGTAACAATACACTACGGACATTTTCCTGTATCAGTACATAGAGTCTTGTCTCCTTGCTAATAGTGCAGAAGAGCATTTTACTGTCTAAGTAGAGCTGTATTTATCCAATGACTTCCCTATTTGTCCTTCCTAGTTTTTAAAAAATTGTCATTAGTACTCATGTTGTTGAGCTTCTTATATAATAACTATTTTTTTTGCGTTATCTTCTAATATATGTGACAGAAGTTCTTTGAAGTGGAATTGCTATGTAAAAAGGTGTATAAATACTAATTTTGGTAGTTATTCCTTCTGCAAAAGTGTTGCAACCAATTGTCAACTTCACCAATAAGGTAGTTAAGTTCCAATTTTTTCTACCCCTTGAATTTCTTCCTCATCCCATGGGCAAAAGACTGGATCTCATTCTTTATCTGATTAATAAATTAATACTTCTTTGACTATGAGGGAGGGTGAGGTATTTTAAACATTTATAGTCATTTGTATTTCTTTTTGTGTGAACTGCCTCTTCATTTACTTAGTGGTTTCCCCTGAAGGCATAATCTCAAAAAACGGTGAGGTTATATGCAATCCCTGTATTGTCATCTTTCTTGTGCCATTCAGGAAATACTTCAGAATGAAAGTCAGAGGAGTGGTATTATGACAGGGATAACCCTACATCTGTTCTAATTCATTGTTTTGTTAAAAATAAAGAATACCCAAACGTTGGTCCTTTATTATTAGCAATAGATTTCTAGTGATACACTTTACAAGGGATTACAATCTTCCATCCAGATTAGTTTAAAAAATAAACTGTATTACCTAAAACAGTACCAGTGACTTAAATAACTTTTTATTTTTAAATAACTCCTCTATTCCTGACTGCAAACTTTTTTTTTAAATACCACTTTTATCTAGTATTTAAAAATGTGTACTAGTTTTGTTTAGAAGTGTGAGTTTAATTAGTTTACTTTAGAAATGTAGAAATCCAATCATTATAATTATGCTAGCTTAAATTTGGAAAAAAACAGATTTAAAACTTATGTTTTATCACAAAAATATTTCAAAACAGTGGCTGCCTTTGAGGGAAAATTGTAAGAAGCAGATAAGTATTCTCAAGCAAATATGTAAACAGTAAATAAACAGCTCAGTTATAGGGTAGAGCCAGGCATTTAAGAGCAGAGAGGGTATCTATGCAATGGAAGATTCTTGAAAGACTAGGAATAGAGTTTTCTAATATATTTCATAAAAACTTGCGAGCCCACACGTTAATATACAACTACAATGAAATACCAGTGGGACAAATTCTCAATTTACAGCTTCAGGTTTACAAAACGCCCTATAAACATGTGAACTTACCCATGGAAAGAACCAAAGTGTCTTACCTCCGTGGCCAGGCTCTGGCTTGCACCATTGTCAAGGAGAAACTTGACAACTTCCAGGTGGTTCTCCTGGGCCGCCATATATAATGGTGTGAAACCATTCTGCAAAATAAGAATTTAAATGTTTGTGGCTTTTTAAAGCAAATCTATCTTTCCACTGTACTGATGATATTATATATTCCAGGAAATCTCACATGTAAAAATTTTAATAATACTTTAATATATTCATATTTATTAGAAAACCTAAGCACCATGATTTAAGCAGAATGTATAATTCACAATTATACTTCCTAATTCATAGTTTGAGTGTGGTTCATTGCTACTTGTCTAAGTATAATTCATACCAATATATCCACTTTAGATAAATATGCACCTTCATTTAACCATCAACTACTTACTGAGTGTTTACCATGAGTAAAGGATTTTACTAGACGCCATGAGAATATGCAGAAAAATACATTTGGTCATTGTCCCAATGAATCTTTTTTTATCCCAAGCAATAATTATGTACCTTAAATAAAATATGTAATACTTTTACATAAAATTAAACACCTGAAATAGCTCCTACTTTGGAAAGAATTTATATTAATTTCCTACAGCTTCAAACTTACCACAGACGGGGTGACTTAGAACAAAGGAAAGAACAGCAATTTGAAAAGGGTATACCTTCAACTTTAAAGTCGAATTCTATTAGTAGTCTACTCTTTATAAGTATCCTTCCTTGCATTTTTTGCAAAGACGTGCTCAGAATACATACACACACATTCATATATTATATATTCTATTGTGCATCTTTGTCTGAAATGTGCCCAACTGCCAAGGAACTTGGAAGCAAATGAATACATCCATCTTAAGCTTCTTAGTAAAAATATGTTGCATGTATGTTTGTTCTCTAAAACAATGTATTTCATATCTATGAAATACTTAATATTTAAAAAAACTTATTGTAAGATATATACACCAAAACAGGTATTTTTCAAACTATAATAAATTCTCTTTGAATAAGCTTTTCAGAATTCAGTCCTATTTAACTGAATGATCTGGAAATTTTGTTGTTTATATTATGCAATCTCCAAGAATAAATGTAAATACATTCTAAATTAAATGTTACCAAACATTACTCAAAACTTTGTGATTCAAAAGGTTTAGGTTAATTACTATAAGTATTAATTACTATATGATGAATAACATAATTCAGCCTCTGGTAACCTCACTTTTTTGGCTTATACCTGAGAATTAGGAAATAAGTTAAAAATATTCTTGATAAAAGTATTACACGTAACAAACCTACCATAGCATATATACTTTATTCATCAGAGAGTTCCTCTATTCTACTTATTCTATTTTACACATAAATGTAATAAACTAGGTTATTGGGTTGCCAAGCTCAAGATTAGAGACACCAAATTAGAGGCAGTGGAATATGACACAGTAGTCAAGCTTCTTCCTTTTAAATTATTTACCTAGTCACATCACTAAGCTCACTGCTGCTTTGTTCTGTTATGAAAGATTTTATCAATTTTAAACATGAAACCTGGAAAAACTGCAACCCAATGTGTGTGTGTGTGTGTGTGTCTGCGTGGGTTTCATCTCTGTCACTCTTCCCAGAGCTATGAAGGAACCTGAAAGCCGTTTAGGATACCCTTTATCGTACTGCTATTTTCTCATTTTCTTACCTGACCAAAATGAAAGATTGTTTAATCCTTGGCTGATTTAAATATCTCTTAACCAAAAAAAAGGAAAAATATTAAAAATATTAAAAAGAAAAGAAAGGCGAAAACCAGCATGGATTTTTATCACTCTATGAACTGAGTATATATCTTTCCACATCACCCAAAATTTCCAGATGGAAGATTCAGATTTTAGGAGTAAAGTTCTTAAGGAAAAATTCCAAAATGGATGTCATTCTCTCGGACATAAATATCAAGTAGATAATATATGTCAGAGGATCCTCAACTTCAGGGCAGAGGTCTGCTGTAGTTCAAGTTACCTAAGAAACGCTGGTTCACAGCCCAGTGTACCTGCCCTGTTCTGGAGGAAACCTGCCAGAACCAAGCAAACATTTCATGACCCCTGAAGGAAACCCCAAACTAGGCACTGAGGTTTAGGAGATGCTGTTCTTACAGACCTAGAGCTTCCAAAGAGTGGTTCTTAAGAAATACAACTTTTAGATCACTCCGTGTGCCCTTTCCACAATGGCAGAGAATGAAATGTGTACAACTGGAATTTCTCAGAAATAATACGTAGACACGGGTCACAGCAAGATGGGGCTCCGTAGTGAATAGTTCCCACAATAGATTTTCTTCTTGTTTTTTGAGTGCTTGCCATTGTACCGCTATTACTCGAAAGCTGGTCATTTTCTGGATGGTCATTCTTTCATATTGTTTCATTTTTATATATTTTTATGGATATATAATTCACACACCAAAAAACTCACTCTTTCAAAGTGTAAAATTTAGTGTTTTTTTAAGTCTGTTCACAAAGTTGGGCAACCATCCCCACCATCTAACTCCAGAACATTCCATCACCTCATAAAGGAACCCTGGACCATTAGTATTCATTCCTCATTTGCCCCTCCTCATGTCCTCTGGCAACCACACATCTGCCTTCCATCTCGATGGACTGGTCTGTAGTAAAAATTTCATGTAAATGGAATCATCCAGTATATGGCTTTGAACGGTCTCATTCTACTTCTGCTGACCATATTGACAAAATGGTTTTGGCGAGGCCTCCATAACGGAAATTTCAATTTTACACTGGGTATTTGAGTGTGTGTGTTTGTGTATTTTGGTCCCTTCCTTTGGCGGTATTGATTCTGTTTTCTTTAGAGGAACTACATCTTCACGGATGTGTAGGTAGGACTTGTCTTGGTTGGACTTTGAAGTAAACTGGCCTGCCCTTCTTCAACCACAGGGTGGACGCACGTGCGGCACGACTCTGCTTGCTCTTCCACGTCTATTCTATGTCCTTCTCAATTCTCTTTTCTACCAAATCTCCCCTCCCCACCCTCGAATGGCCTGTAGGGACTGTATCAAAGGGCAACCTTACCCTTTAGCTTCTGATTAGGCTCTCTCACTCCAACTACCTAGTTTCCAAAGCTTTCTGAAAGCTTCTTTAGCCTTCTATTCTATGGGTTCCTCATATAATTCCAAATTGCTGAAGTTATTTGGATGAAAGCAATAGAAACTAACACGAATTAATACAAATTTTGTGTATTGGGAAAGGATCAACAAGGCGTGAGAACACATACACACTAGATATGGTTCTAGGAAGATAATTATAAGCATCTTTTTGAAAGAGTGAATAAAAATATTACCATTACTCTCTAGTGCAAAGAGGGTTAAGGCACAAGTAATCCAGTGTGGATGACCTAGAGCTGTAATGATTTTTCATGAAATAGTACCTGGATTGGGAAGATGGTAATATTTCAGAAAGAATGTTATTTTTCTCCTAAGAGAAAAAAGTACATCACTGGTTTTTTATTAATTCCCTAACTTAGGAAATTTCCAAAACAAAGAGCTGACCGAAAAGGAACATACGGGTGGCCCAATTTACATTTGCTTTTCTGTAGCAACAATACACTGAATTCTCAAAAGGCTCAAGACTGAGTATGCTTTTTGATGTCTGATTTTATCCAATATCTTCAGTACCTTCTGCTCTGATTATGCTGTTATTGTGAGTATTGTGGTGTTATCATAAGTGTGCAAAGTTGCAGACTTATAGTTTGATAGACCGTACTGAGGCATGCTACCTAATACCCACTAAAATAAAACAAAATAAAATAAAATAAAAATGAAATGACACAATATAAATAAGGGCTTAAACTTCATCCATGCAATTTTATCCATCCTAGTTTCCTCCAACCAAGCCTTTGTATATCATAAAGTGCTGTTATTAGTTAAAATGTCAAGGGCATGGTGATATATTTGTACCGATTTACATAAGGTACTAATTTTTGTGAAGACTGTTTACATCAGAGGTGTGCTATTAGTTTAAAGGTCAGAAAGGCTCTATCTGGACCACACCCACTGTCTGACTTCACCAGGACCTGACCTCCCCCCACCCATAGGAAACATTAAAAAACCCAGAAAGGGGCTTCCCTGGTGGCGCAGTGGTTGAGAGTCCGCCTGCCGATGCGGGGGACACGGCTTCGTGCCCCGGTCCGGGAGGATCCCACATGCCGTGGAGCGGCTGGGCCCGTGAGCCATGGCCGCTGAGCCTGCGCGTCCGGACGCTGTTCTCAGCAACGGGAAAGGCCATGACAGTGAGAGGCTCGTGTACCGCAAAAAAAAAAAAAAAAAAAAAAAAAAAAACCCAGAAAGACCAAGGAAGCATTGGTTTAATTAAAGGGTCTTGTCTTTGTTAAAACCACTGTGAAAACCTGTCAATTTAGAATACTTTGATAGTTAAAAATATTATACGAAACAGACTTTGCTTCTTTATAAACACAGTTGGTACCTTATATTATGGAATAAAGACAGAGAAGAAGAAAAGCGTAAGGGATGTCATTTGACATGGCAGTTTGAGATTTTTCAAGAGCAAGCACTGTTAATCATTGTTGTACTTCGTATAAAGTATTAAGAACTTAGTAGAGTTAAGAAGTTAGGAATCATAGTAGAGTTCTTTAAAATCACAATTTAGTTATCTAACCCAATTTCTTTCTTAGGGTAGGCCTAAATGATTCCTGGAATGTTAAGTAATATAAGAAAGAGTTAACTAACTTATTAAGACCCAAGATCAAGGCAATGACAAAAATTATTATGAGAATATCCAGATTCCTAGTGTATAGAGCCTCAGTTCATCAGAACTTGATACTGTCCCATGCCATTTTTATTTTCAAGGAGAATTTTTATATTTAAGGAAGGTGAGGGGCTCTCTTTATGCTGTTTCTTGTTGGCTATTAAATATTGTCTATAGGATAAAATTTCACTTAGATAGGGATACACTTTCTTTTTTTTCTTTTCTTTTTTTTTTTTTTGCGGTACACGGGCCTCTCACTGTTGTGGCCTCTCCCATTGCAGAGCACAGGCTCCGGATGCGCAGGCTCAGCGGCCATGGCTCACGGGCCCAGCCGCTCTGCGACATGTGGGATCTTCCCGGACCGGGGCACGAACCCGCGTCCCCTGCATCGGCAGGCGGACTCTCAACCACTGCGCCACCAGGGAAGCCCGGGATACACTTTGTTGAATAATAATATTCCTGGGATGTTTTATGTTCTGCCACCAAATGGAATTTCACTGCATTTCATGGCATTATTGCTTGCTGTTCTTTAAAGTTCCTTTTGAAAAGTTGCTACCAGGAATTATCTTTGAAACTCCATTCTGCTGCATGGTGATCTCATTACTTATTCTGTCCACAGAACGATGCAGTTCAGAAAGCTTCTGGGGGCAGGTGTCCAGAGGAAAGGGGGGCAGGTTTTCTGTCAAGTGGGTGGCTGGGTATTCCAAGCACAGCTGCAAGGAACAGAGAATTTCACAGCCCACATTCTCCTTCCACACTTCATCATCAGGAGAGGATGTGTATACATTGAAATCAAATATGGTTAGGATTTTATTTCGACTACAGCTTCTCCCAGACATTTCAGAGAAGGTTTAAAACCACGCCTCCTCTGAACATTAGTCATGAATGTGCATAATGTTTAAAAGAAGGGAAGGTTAATTTTTCCCTCCCTTGGGGGGAAGATAGGAAAATGAAAATGGACTAAAGAGCTTTCCCACTATCTCAGAGCTTAACGCTAGCTATTTTCTAAGTAAAAATTACAGGGGCATTTAAAAATACTTGGTTGAAAACCACAATGCTCCCCTTGTGGTCAGCTGGTCTGTATTTCTCTTCAAGTACCATACTTGTCAATATTCAACTTTATATCACTCCTTTCTGGAAAAGCTTTATTACTGTAAGTGAGCTATCAAAGGGAATCAGCACAGGTGGCATAGACCATGTAACAAATGTCCAACCATAGGGAACTTAGAGGTCAGACGAATTATACAAGAAATCATGTGGTTGCAAGTACAGTGCCGTTTCTTTTCCACGACACTGTTATTCAATGGCATCAGAGCTTTCATCGCTACAGTGGGAGTAACAAGGGAGAGAATCACTACGATTCTGTGGACCCATAAGAGGCTCCTGTTATCCAAAGATAATCAGTACTGGAAAAGACTGAAGAAATCAAGTGCATTTAAAGTGGGGATCAAAAGGCCGCAGTAAATAATTTAAAAGGTTAGATTGAGACTTCATCTTGAAAGAGAAAAACAGACATTGTAAAAATGACTTTATATGATTTAACAAAAGGTAGGTTACAACTGCATTCATGTACAGGTTCTTAGAGTGAATGAAGACTAAACCAACTACGATTTTGGGGGAGAAAATGTATGACGTTCTTCCAACAAAATTGTATGACAGCTTGACATCCTTCACTTTTTATTTTCAGAGCATAAGCAAAAAGATAGTCCTTTTGCAAAAACTACTTGGGAACCAAAGGCCTCACCTAAGTTTTTTTCTTCATTTAATCTTTTGATTTTTCAAATCATTCGAGTTTGAAACACTGTCAGGAAATCATCCAAATTCTTCACACAGTCTGGGCAACTACTGCCAGAAAGTCACGACACCACAGCAGTCCTCCAGCATCACTCTCCCTGACTTCATGAAATCCTACATCTTTTGCAAAACTTGCAGCTTTGTTCTACAGTCAATTGGTTCAAAATCTAATACCCTGGGGTAGATACTGACGAACCAGGATAGATGTCAGCCTTCAGCTGGAAGGAATGTTTGAGTAGGGACCAGTTTTAACAACGGTCAGGTCCTTAGAGATGATCACACTAAGTGAAGTAAGTCAGAAAGAGAGAGACAAACACCATATGATGTCACTTATATGCGGAATCTAAAATACGACACAAATGAACCTATCTATGAAACAGACTCACAGACATAGAGTCTGTTTCGTAGATAGGTTCATTTGTGTCGTATGTGACATACGTAAGTGACATCATATGGGGTTTGTCTCTCTCTTTCTGACTTACTTCACTTAGTGTGATCAATACCCTTGATAAACCATAATGGAAAAGAATGTGAAAAAGAATGTGTGTATGTATGTATATATATATATATATATATATATATATATAAATATATATATATATAACTGAATCACTTTGCTGCACAGCAGAAATTAAAACACTGTAAATCAACTATACTTCAAAAAATTTTTTTAAAAATGGTCAGGTCCTAAGCGGATATTTGTACGTTATGATGGTGTTTGCTCTTCTACACAAGCTCACATCTGTGGGGATATGAATAGTAATGAATAATTTGGATAATAAGGACCTATATTTTTAGAACAATAAAGTGAACTTAATTTTTTTAGACTCAAAGTCTGCCAAATGATAATCTATTGGTATTTTCCTTAGAACTTCATGGAAGATTCTGAGAGCTTGTAGGAGGATCTTCTGAATGAATTATCAGTGTATATTCATTACTAACAATCTGGAAATTTTAAACTTTGGGGATTTTAAAGTTTCTTCTGCTTGTTTTTTTCTTTTTAATCTGTTTCAGGGAACAACGATGATGCCTGAGTTAGTAAACAGGAATTAACTAGTGTCTTCCCTTTTTTAACTAGATAAAGCGCCGACATATTCTGAACTTCTAAGGGCATTTCCTCTTTTATAGGCCTCCTCATTTCCTTTGTCTGTGAGTAAATACTGAGACTAGATCTGAGCTAACATCATAAAACAGAATAAGTCTCTACATTACAGAGGTCCTCTAATCATTTGTGTCTATGACTACTAGCCATACATACCAGTTTTACAGATGGATGCCTTTTAAAAACCTCTACATCTCACACAAAGAGTACTGCAAATGAGGATATATATGAAATTGAATAATCCAGAATAATATGGTTATTCATGGGATATAGCTCTTAAGTATTATATTCTTAGAAGATACATAAACCAAGCAAGCACCTGACCCAGAACATTGTTTGTGAACCATTATAACAACATTTCTTGGCAGTAGAGCTGTAGGCTTACCTGGGATTGGGCATTGACATTGGCTCCATTTGTAACCAAGACCTTTACCACCTCTGCTTGCCCTGCCAAAGATGCTATATGCAACGCTGTGTTTCCTTTCTGTAAAACAAAAGGCAAGATACATGAGCTCACCCATCTTTCTGTCTACTTTCAACATTTTACAAAATATCAAATCCCTCTATAAGTTCCCCAAAGAGAACAAGGTTGACAGGTATCTCATGAGAAGCGTGCCCCAATTCTTATCGAGGGCTGAATTCTCACTGAATTGGGCAATTGATATAAAAAGCACAAAATGTGTCATACTGACCTTTGTAGCTGCATCCACGTTGGCTTCTCTCTGTAGCAGCTCAGAAACAACTTCTACATGGCCTTCTTTGGAAGCAAGATGGAGAGCATTCAACCCATTCTGATTAAGTGAAGGGAAAGCTTTACTCAGCAGGTTGAAAACAGAAGAGTAAACAGTCAACCGAGAACTCTGAAGAGTTCCCACCAACAACCACTTGTATGTGTTTAGTGTAGGAACTTGAATTAGGAATAAAAGTACTCGTGGCAATTAGATAGGTTGTTCTGATGTCATTACGTACTAAATTTTAGGAATTAGTTATTAAAGGATACGTATCTACATTTCTGAATGCTTCTCTAACAAAGCAGAGAATAACTTGATAATTCAAGCTGGAGACATTTAATAGAAAACACTGACAAAAAAGAGAAAGTCTTGGTAATATCTAACGAAAGATTTAAGGAGTTTGAAGTCTGGATTTTTAAAATTTTATCTAAAAACTTAAATAACCATTGTAAAGCAATCATACTCCAATAAAGATGTTAAAAAATTAAAAAAAATAAATAAAATAAAAACTTAAATAACAACAACAATCACCACAACTAACCTGATTGCAAATGTTGATGTCGACTCCATTTTTTATGTAGTCAAGGGCCTTTTCTAAGTGTCCGGCTCGAGCTGCTCTTAAGTAACTTGCATTGGCATCCGACTGAATAAAAAAGAAAAAACGTGTTGATGAAAAAAGGAAACTAACATGCATGTTGCTAACTACGCAGAATTATTGTCCAAACTAAAACGAAAGTAAAACTGAGATTTTTTTCAATTGAACTATTTTATTTCTAACGTGAAAACACTAATAAAAGGTCTTCATAAAGTCACCAGGAAAAGTACAAATTCTTCCAAAGTTAGTTTCAAGTGTATAAAGTTACCCCTTCTGTGATGCCATAACTGATTCTGAACCGAAAGAGAAAATTTCCATGATGTGTAGGTACGTTAAATCAACATACAATTTCATGAAAGTTAAGAAAAATCCTGTAACTTTCTGGTAGTTACATTATTATAAACCTCACTGTTCTCTTTAATCAGAAATTTAATTATACAGATGTTGAACTATAAGGCTACACCTGAAACTCATATAATTAAAAAAAAAAGAAATTTAACATCTACTCCATTCTTTTGTACCTCTCCAACTTTTCAATTAATAGCTTCACGAATACATTTAATGTCACACTAGTTTAACAGGAATTTGTGGGTAATGATGTTCTCTTGAATTTTCCTGCAGGACGTAGCCATGTGTTGGAACACAGACTATCTGAAAAGCATTCATTTATAAATGTCTACACAGTTTGTGAAGCATACTTTCCATATATTTTCAAGCTAGCTAAATCCACAGCGTGCAGTAGAAGGTTCAAACAAAGAAATATATACACATTTTAAAAACAACAAAAGCCAAGCCTGTAATTCATTCACCGAAAGCATACAACTCTGAACTACTGCTACACTCTAGTACCTACAATTACGCAGCTGAAATCATCTACTATTGAAATTTTTAATAGAAAGAAGGTGATGAGAAGAAAGTCTGCCAAGTTGAGTCTGTACAATTTGTAAAGGAAACTTGCTCCATGTCAAACACAGAAGCAGATTTTCTTGAAAGGGCCACCCAAAACATCACTGGTTATAAATGCAATCATGCAGGGTATGGCTTAAAAGAGGAAAGTGTCTTCTTTCAGCCATTTGCCACCTACGTCCTTCAAACTCCCATTCACTTACCACCTCATCTGTAAAGGCTTCCCAGACCACCAGGCAGAGCTTTAATTGCTCACTGCTCCCAAGGCACTGATTTCATTGAGCCCTCTCGGTATTTATCACCCAGTATCATAGTTTTTGGTATACCTGTCCTTCCTCCTCCCTAAACTGAAGGCCCTTTAAGAACAAGCAGAGGCACATTTAAGGGGTAGGCAACTTAAAAAAGTTAAAGTCACCAAGATGCCAATCTTTGAGGAATACTAATGGAACCCTGGAAATGTACCTGAGATGAAGGAAAGGATCCATCCCTCAGAAGGATCTTTGGTTCTGGTGCAGGTCAATTCAGCTGAGTTGACTTGATCAAGACCTCAAAGAAAAAGGGCACTGTCTTCAGGGTCTCCTCCCTCCCCATGTACAGCAGTGTGCCTCTCTCTGGAGTACTGCTTCTTCTAAATTGGGGCTTCTTAATCTCAGCACTATTGGCATTTTGATCCAGATAATTCTCTGATATGGGGACAGTCCTGGTCAGTGTCTACGGTCACCAGTATTTCCAGCATCTACCAACCAGGTAGAATTCTCCTATTTGTGACAACCAAAAATGTCTTCATGTCTCCAAGTTTCCCGGGGTGAAGGGTAAAACCGCCCCTGTTGAGAACCATTGCTCTAAATAAATGGTAAACCAATTTGCTGAAAGATTGTAGGTTTCAAAAGTCTTAAATCTTTGGCTTGCCTGTATTGCCATATGCCTTGACCTAGCACAAGGCAGTGACTATATGTATAACATCCATCTTTCTCTTTCCTCTACAGCTGGAAGCATCCCTGGCACACAGCAGGTGCCTATAAATGTTCTGTGAATGAATGAATCAACAAATAAGTAAATTATGTGGAAATAACTGATTATTTCCTAGAACTATACAGGAGGCTTTATTAACAACAACAATAGCAGTTACTTAAGTTACTATGATACAAAGCTGAACAGCAGAGAGCATAGACTGAGCCATGAGTTGGGTATCTGGGAACACATGTAGGTGCTGCTAAAGCAAAACTGGGATTTGAGTCAAGCACGCAGATCATTTAATCAGGGCAGAGAGTTAATTAAGAGGAAGACAACAGATTTGGTTCAAATCAGGCAAAGAACAAACCAAAGTTTCCAGAAATGTAAAGAAAAATAAAATTCAGTCTTTAAACAGCTTTGGTACTTGGAGAAGGTTAGTTTTTGTTTGGTTTGTAAGTTCAGTTAGAAATAAATTAGCTGTGCAAAGATGGGTCATTGTACCATAAAATACCATCTTCTTTGTGCCAGCTCAGTGACTTACCAGGGAATTTGCCCAGAAGGGCTCTGATGCTGTTCTGAAAACAAATGACATGAGCCTGCCTGGATATTTCAACAGCCAAAGATAATAACTGTGAGTTAAGTAAGCACCCCAAACCCTGACTTTGAGTACGCAAAAGCAGCAGCTAAAGAAGTTCAAAAAGAGTTGTCAGAATTCAAGGAAAGCCCCTGAATTGATTCCAGTTCTGAAAAGGTTTGGCATTGCTATATACTGTCATTTTTCTCCCACATTTTCTCATAATTTTCCTATCAGAAATTCTAAAGCAAAACAAAATACAGACAATATAAACCAAATCTTCTAATTCAGTGGTTTCCTACCTATCTGGACCTCAGATTCTTTAGAGACTAACAAAAGTTAACAAATAAATTCCTTTCCTTCGGGCTTCCCTGGTGGTGCAGTGGTTGAGAGTCCGCCTGCCGATCAGGGAACATGGGTTCGTGCCCCGGTCCGGGAAGGTCCCACATGCCGCGGAGCGGCTGGGCCCGTGAGTCACGGCCGCTGAGCCTGCGCGTCCAGAGCCTGTGCTCCGCAACGGGAGAGGCCACAACAGTGAGAGGCCCGCGTACAGCAAAAAAAAAAAAAAAAAAAATTCCTTTCCTTCAACAATTGCACATATATGCATACACATACCAAATCTGCGTACACACAGCAAATTTGCATACATACTCCAAATCTGCATACACACATCAAATCTGCATACAAACATCAAACCTGCATACACACATCAAACATGCATATGCAAACACAACTTCCACGCTACTTCATACGGCTCAGGGTTGCTAAGCCTGCTCACAGATTTAGGTTTAAGAACACCTGCTCTAATGATAAAGAATTCTCTGGTGGATACCCTCCCTATATCTATTTCAGCCAATAACCCTGGTATCAAATAATTCTCTGAGGTAGCTAATTTATCACCTGAGAACTTTAGGAAGAAGAAAAAGGACAAAGATTTATTTTCTTCATTTCTCCCGGCCCTCTGTTACGTGCAGACATGTCCAATACACCAATACATAATAAGCATCCACTGCTTGTACTTCAAAGAAGAAGTCTAGGGAGAGAAAGAGGAAAATCCAAAGAAAAAGCAGGACGAGGGAAATGAAGACTGCCTTGAAGAAACATGACAACTTAGGAAATGCAATTATTACAGCCCACGGACAAAGAACCAAGATCTCCCTTCCACAAATATTTGCTGAACATCAATTTTGAACTAGTCATGCCAACATCTGGCTGTACGGTGGGGAACGAAACAGATGTGGTACCAATGAACACTCGCTGGCCTTCATCTCACCCTTACACTTTCCCAAACTGTGCTGCTTCACTGGCAGGATAAATAGTGGAGTCTTCATCTTTTTCTTTTTTCAGATTTGCCTGTAGTACTTATATACTGTTGTTTATTTCCTTAATGTTAAAAATATATACAGTATTTTGTATTAGGCTTAATATCAGTGTGTTGCATCTCTTAGCTATCATTCCATCAAGTAACTAGGGGTTACTCTTAACACAGGCTACAGCCTGTTTTTAATCTGGAACATTCTATCCAAACAATGTCTCTTTTAAGCCAATTGTAGACAAATTACTATGGAAGGAAATTAGGTCCCATGAGAGGCTGAGCGCTGTCACATGGAAAGTCATACTGAGGAGACCATTGCCTACGGAGTTAGTCGGTACAAAATGAATATGAGTAAGTTGGTCATCATTTCATTTCCCCCCCGAGATGATGAAAATCTGAAGGAAGAACTTGGAAAATGAAAGTGTCTTTCGCCACTTTGATGTCTACTTAGTAATTTTACTAGACAGGAAAGAAATATGAACCTCGTGTGTTTTTCAACGCAAGTTTTTCAAGGATAGAATCAAACATCATTATAAATTAACCTACTAACTCAGAATTTTCACCTGTACTGAATATTGGTATTATTCAGCAAAAAGCAGTGATTGGAAAAAAATAAGCATTTCTTGAGTGTCAACCTCAGGAATAACTAATACTTCATACCTCTGACTATGTGCTACATACTATTACAAGCACTTAGGTTAACTTAATTATATTATTGGCACTTGATTATATCATTAGTCACTTAATATAATATGGAATAATTGTATAAGTACTTATATTAACTTAGTCCTTATAATATTTCCATGAAGTAGTATAGTGGGGTTGAATCATGCTGCCCCCCCCCGCAAATTCATGTCTACTTAGAGCTACAGAACATGACCTTATTTGGAAATAGGACCTTTATAGACATAATTATTTAAGATGAGGTCATACTGGATTAGAATGGGCCCTAAATCCAATGACTGATGTCCTAATAACAAGAGAAGATATACAAATATAGAATCATTATGTTGTACACCTGAAAATAATATAGCGCTACATAGCAATTATATCTCAATTACAAAAAAAGAGGAGGAGACACAGACACATAAGAGAAACCATGTTAAGGGCTTCCCTGGTGGCGCAGTGGCTAAGAGTCCGCCTGCCGATGCAGGGGACATGGGTTCGTGCCCCGGTCCGGGAAGATCCCACATGCCACAGAGCGGCTGGGCCCGTGAGCCATGGCCGCTAAGCCTGCACGTCCAGAGCCTGTGCCCCGCAATGGGAGAGGCCACAGCGGTGAGAGGCTGGCGTACAGCA